TAAAATTAACGTTTAAGTAAATTAAATAAATCCCCACAAAGTGACCTGCCATTCTTGAACCAAAATCACAAGCAGAGAAATTACCGTACTAAACCTTCTCGTAAATTGATAACATTATCGTACTACTACATGAAAAACAGCAATAAATATAATTTGTTATACTACCGAACTTTTTTTTATGTTGCCAGATTATTTTATTAAGGGCCCATTACCTCAGTTGGTTAGAGCGTCGTGCTACGATGACTTGAAATCTGTTAATAATCCTGCTATTAAAATATATGACTGATGCTTATGATCAATGTAAGCCCAAAAGGCCTATGCCCATCCTCAGTGACACTGTTGACTAAGTTTTTTTTATTGAGTACCATGGGTTTCTATGTGTATACATTGTTGCTGTGTTGTTTGAATCGGTATAGTTTGTTTTTGTGTTCTTTACCTCATTTATCATAATTTTTGTGTACATATTCTTATAATTTTGCATATTAGGTCTCGCATTTACCTTATAATTGTTTGACACTTATATGTTCTCACTGGCTCGAATTTTGTACTACGCTTCTACTTGTTGTAATTACCTTAATCTCACTTACTAATCTCATTAATTATAAGTTTTAAACAAAGTCATGTATATATGTACATATTTATATATCACTGCTAGTTATTGTTTTTGTAATTCAAAACAGCTTACTTTCCATTAGGGGTAGGGTCAATGACCCCGACACCCTGGTGCTATACCGCCAATCGTTTGAGTACAAATTATTTTATTAAACTATACAACATGACCAGAAAAATGCATTCATGTGGTCTACAAGAGGACCTATCTTACTCTTCGGTTGTCCGTTTTTACTTTTGAGCTTACTGCGGTCTACCAGGCTTTCATTATCCTCTTGAAGCAATGTTGCAGAAATTTGAGTGCATTAATATCGTTGAAAAATCCTACTTACAGCCCGCATCGCATAACTATCAGAATTCTAAAGTTCATTCATATTGTTGCGTTACCCCACTCCTGACACCAGTTATTGTGTTTTTCTTCTTCCTTCACGTTCGTCTGGGGTTCGTAGATTTGGAGTGAAAAATGACGACGCTTGATGATGAAGTATCAAAACACACTTTATTAAACCAGTATTGTTAGGACGCCTCCAAAACACGTTTTACAGTCGTCGATGAACTCCTACAAACACGCTGACACGATCAGCGACACAGCCTTCAAGTTATCAGGCTATCACGGTGAAGACAGCTTCACTGCAAAGCACTTGAGTACAGCTCCCGACTCTGCTCGGTCGTTCTCGGAACTCCACGTACTCTCGAGGCTCTCCACGCTACAACTCGATGCACTCGACGACACACGAGCACAGCTCTCGACTCTTCGGTTCAGTCGTTCCCGGAGCTCAACACGCTTTCTCGACGATACACTAAAAGACTTCTTCGGTGAACTCGACGACCTACTCGGCACTCGCTGCCCGGCTGTCAACTCGATCGACTCCGCAGGGATTGATTCGCTAGACGAGACACCAACTCGATACTGACTAACTCGCACTCTCACTCGCCCTCTCGACGAGTCACACACACACGGCCTCTCGGCGAGGAACACTAACTGACTGCGGACCAGCAGGATTTATATAGCTTTCGGCTTGTGTTCGAGAACATTATGGGCTAAACCGGTAAGAATTCGTTCCAGAAAGTTCTTCATCCGTCCATGGCATATCGCCAATTTTGTCGCCATATGGGCGATTTCTCGCCGAATGTGCAACCCCGCCGCCCCTTGCCATTTTATAGCAAGCCTAAAACTGCTTTGCGGGGAAGCCATCCTACCGCGCCTGTACATTTCATAACAATATTTTAAAATGCCAGGGATGTCAGATTCTCTACTCCTGGAACCCTGGGCATGCTGGTATAAAAGGAGATGAACTAGCAGACAATACAGCTACAGACTAACAGATTAAGTCTGCTACTGCAGTATCCAAGCTTCTGGTCCCACTCGTAGATATCAGTCAGGGCTGGATCAAAGGTAAAATTCTGAATAAATTGGCAGATGCATTGGAATTATTAAGCAAACAATAAGCTGAGAAGTGTTAAACTCACTATAGAGTGCTGGCCGTCTGTGCTAAATAGAAAGGAAGAAATACTTTTAACTCTTTTGAGACACGGTCACTGCCAGCAACTCACGAGCATCTTCTGAAAGGCGAGAGAGATCTACTTTTTGCAAATTGCAACGACTTTCTGACTGTTTCCATCCGTGCCTCTCGAATTAATTTACGCTTTTTCGTTGCCCTGCGTTGGTAACACACTTGGGATTTGTCGTGGATAGAATTCGGTCAGCAGATCTGTAACTATTCTAATACTTATTTTAAACTTAATTGTGTTGTTTGATTATTACTCGATGTTTACTTATGGATATTTCATTATTATGTGTTTACAGTTTGTTTTGAATAAAACACTGAGAGTATTATTAATGTTATTTCACGTTTATTTATTAATATTATTTCACAACTACTTTTTCGATTTCGTCGCGATTCGAATACTGATAGTTCGCTATATTTTACTGTAATGCCAAACTTTTAAATATTTCCACCTAAAGCATTTTAATTGTTTCAATTTTTATTTAAGAAACTTAATAGGAAGACAACCTCGTTATAAATTCTTTCATTTTTTAAAAGATTTTAGCTTTTACCATAAACTGTAATATTTTTTATTAGCAAATTTGTCACGGCTAAACTGTATTGTACATACAATAAAATCTGCATGTTTCCTTAATTTCTTTTGTCTTTCAGGGTTTTACCGTTGGTGTTTTATCGGTTTTAGTTTTATGATCCGCGATATAATCTGTGTTGTTTTTGAGGATTGTTTCGTGTTTTTGCTTGATTTCTATTTTACAGATTGTTTTACCATTTTGGTCTTGATTTCTAAATCACTTTTTGAATTACTGCATTCCTTGCAAATGCCGTCTTTAATTGTTTCTTTTTGATTGGGCATTGATAATCTTTAAAGCTTTTGCACCGAAAATTGCAATGCAAACTGAATGGTCGTCACATCGACTCGTTTAGATACGATCCATTCGATTAAGTTTTTATTTTAACTATAAACACTTCGATGATAGTTATTCGATATACATTTCATTTTTGCGAAAACTTAATTCCTATTAAAAATATTGTCATGAATAGTGTTATTATAGTATAAGAACTAACTAATTTGGAATTTTGAAGGTTAGGGCATCATCGATGGCATGAAGTATAGCATTCGAAATTTTAAACAGTACCGAAAAGAATTTTGAAACACACTTTCAGCTGCAAACGTTAGCAAGAGAAACAAAATACGAAAAGCAGTGGGTTTAATTTGGGTTCTAAAAGTTTTGAGTTTCAGTTTATAAGACTTAGTTTCGGTTTATTTTATCTGGATCAGCAAAAATTTAAACTTCTAAAATTATTATTAAAGCTTTATGTAAGTTGTATCTGCATCGTGAGTTTTATCGAAGAGTCATGTGACACCTGTTTGAAATAACGCAGTTTAGAGAGATTTATTATAAACAATTGCTATTTTTAGGGCAGCAAAAGAAAATACACAAATCAAAACGATGAGTTAAGGCATTATTGCAAACTAAAATTAGAATTTTAATTTTAATTTACATTTTCTTTTTATTTTACATATATTAACTGGCATTTTTTAAAAATAACTTCTTGAACTTTACAGGTTTCGTGTCTATCATATCATGTTATGCTTTTTTTTCTTTCTTTCTCTTGCACAGTTTTTAAACAGTGATTCTATTCTGTGTCCGGTATGTATCCGTAATATAGTAATATAGCTGTTTATGTATTCAAATGAAATAATTTTACTATTATAGCTATTAAAAAAAAAAACCAGATTGCTTGTTGATTTCAGTTAGATAGTAATACTGTCTCCCTTTCATCGCGTAAAGCTTCTTTTTAATTACTAATTAAATCCTGTGGGTTTATTTTAGTAATTGTTTTTTTGGCAATACCGTGTTAGATGACATTCCTTATTATCTAACCATCATCCAGGCTTATTTTTATCGGATAATCAGGTATACTGAATATATTTCTGCTATGGAATACACAATGTGTGTCCTGCCGCCCCCCCTTCCATGTGGAACATAAGCCAAAAATAAAAAAGTTTTTTTTTTTTTTTTTTTTTTTTAAAGAGGAGGTTCTCAAAAATAATTAAAGCTGCCTTTTATCGTCTGCCTTGAAATAAGATAGCGCACTTTTAATTATGTTATTGTAATACCGAGTGCACGTTCATTATTTTGATATGTCACTTTTCATGCTGTCTCGCTGTTTATTGGTCATTCTTTCCAATCATTTTTCTCTCTCAAGGGTGAACATTTTCGCATGCAGGTCATGCACACCAGTTACCCCTCTCTCCCCTTTATTTTTTCCTTCTTTTTTTTTTTAAATGGGCTTTATCTTCAGTATTGTCGAAAGAAGAACCATAAATATTGAGATGTTGGTCTGAAATAAGGGTCGTTAGAATTCCAAGGCATGGAACCGGCTTTTTACGTCACTTCCCGCTAGCTTCGTCATTTCCTCCGCTTTGACCTCCCCCCCTTCTATAATCTCCAGCAAATGAAAGGCCGATCTGCATTTATGTAACTTTGTTTTTAAGCAGCTTGATGAATTTCGAATGGATTTACCTGTTGCTTTTACATAATAACTGTCTGCTGTGTGGCAGCTGTTTTAAAATCGTCTGCAAATTTTTTCAGTTCATTCCATGATCTTCAAGTAGCTGTTGGCACTCAGTAATCGAATGAAGTTATGCTGCATTTCATTTGCAAGTTTTGTGCAATGGAGCGCCGGCTAATTTTTATTACGTGGATTAAGTATGCATGTATACAGAAATGAGGCATTGTGCTTTTGATTGCATTTTATTATAACATGTTGCCACTTTCAGATGCTAAATTTCAAGCCTTTTTTTTTTTTTTTTTTTTTTACAATGCAGAAACGAAATCTACAAAGAGTTGCCTGAATGGCATTTAAAAAAGCGCAATATAAATCAAAGAATATCAGTTTAAAAAAAAAAAAATTAGAAAGAGCGGAAAATTGTATCTGAAGAGTTGTTTAAAAAATGATATTAATAAGAATTATTTTTAAACAATGAAATGAATCTTGCAATGTGTAATAAATAGCAACAATAAGCATAAAATGACTTCTGAAGAATGTTTTATTTTATTCGTTCGCTTCATTTCGTGAACTGCTGCCACCTGAGTGTTAATAAATACTAATGGAATTACGAAATATGTGAAGAATATGTTTAGCTGGCAATTAATCTTTCACATTTGCGGTAGATAAATGCTGTTAAAGATAATTAACTACGTGTTTGAGAAGATTACCTGTGTTGTTAAAATTCAAAAAAATATTTTAATAAATTAATTATCATATTCTGTATCGGATATGCATGCACACAATATGGAAGAAAAGAGAGCTAGTTGGATATATGCTCCCGCAGATGTGCTGGGAATTGAAGTGAGCTGTGACGCATATTCACATTTTGTGGATACGTTTGATATATATGTTGGTAAGTTTAATTAGACTTTAATAAGATATTTTAATAATTTAATTAGAGTTGTCCAATTCCTATATTTATGTATGTACTTTTTACCTGATATTTGAACTAGAAAGAAATTAAATTACTTATTTTGCATGGATAAGGAAGGACATCTGAATTCTTTCTAAAAATTTTCGATAAAGATTTGATTGTTTCCTTTTATTACAAAACTGAAAGGGGATTACGTTAGGTTCAGTACCGAAACACGAAGTCAAATTCAGACCGTTGTACAAGAATGCTAATAAGAATGTTTGGTTTCGTAATTATACTCTTTCAAAAAACGTTTCATTAAATAGAGCGTAAATTTTCTTTGCATTGTGTAGAATTATCTCCAACATTATAATTTTATAAATATCCCATTTACTGTATATATATGTTATTTTTATTTATGCAGAGACTTGTTATTCTTTTGTATGCACTAGTGATTATGTTATAAGGCAATAAAAACATAATATTATCACACTAAAATTTGCACGTGAACAATATCTTAATTCCTTTTGTAAATTACGAAATCAAATATTCTGATCTATAAAATTTTATGTAATACAACAGAAATTATCAGCTGTATAGAATACCAATTTTAAATTTACTGATGTAACTAATTATTTTCTATTTTTTAATAGGTATATCAATAAATTTTATTGTTTGAAAATAAAGTTCGAGACCTATTTAATTTGCAATTAAAATTAATTAAAGTAATAATTAACTAATTAAGTTCATTCCAATTTAATGTAAATAAATATATTGCATTATGTTTTGGTCTCAGCAAAATTGAAAGCAATTTTATTGTTCCTGAAATAACTGTGCTGTGTGTTTATGGGGTATTAGTCATTGCATTTCAGCTATATATTTGCAAAAAAATTTCAACAATGATTTTTTTTTTTTTTTTTTTTTATCGTTTGCGTTTAAAAATGAGTAAAAGGAAGCTGAACTCATGGGAAAATTCTAACGTAAGTAACAATGTCTTTTACAAGATTAATCATTACAAAATTGAGTTGTAGTTTCCACATAATTATTATGTTGAAATTATCAGAATGCTTTTTGACCAAATTGAAAGCTTGTTCCCTTTTTCGATGAATGTAAAATTGTTTTAGATTACTGTGTTTAAAATAAAGAAAATTCTAACTTCGAAATAGTGTTAAGTTCGGGAAAATACAGAATATTTGGCTTTTATAAGAACAGAAATTTGCATCAATAAGTTTTCTCGAATTGCTATCGATATTGTTATAAAAACAAACTGAGTACAGTTAATTTTTTTTTGGGGGGGGCGGAGGTACTGAGGCTCTTTTCCTGAGATTGAAAGAATAAGTAATTCAAATTCTTGCTTTTTTAGTTTTTCTTTGTTTAAATTTACATCAAAATTTAGAAGTATTATTCTACACCAGCAAAAAATGAATCACACAAAACTAAGATTAGAATTTATAAATCTGAATAAAAATATGCATTTCCTTCCTGGTAATTGTCGACATTTTCAAGACGTTAAAATTGTGAAATTAAATTTTTAAAATTCAGTTTTTGATCATTTTTATAAAATATGCAAGTTGCATATCTTCAGTTTTATTATTTGTTGCTTCGAACTTGCAGCAGTTTCTCAAATATGTTGCTTTAAATCATTACGCTTCCCAAAATATTCAACAACACATTTCTTTACGTTTTGTACGGCATTAATTGAGGCAAAAGGTAATTTTGTAATTATAGAATTGATGAGGAGAAGAATTCAAACAAGAGATAAAATTTAGTAGTTATAAATTGAACAGTATTGGTAAAACAAATACGTGAAGTGTTTTGGTCATTATATTAGAGACAATTAAAGTAATCTGCGTTATGGGGCATGAAATATAGGAATAATCTTTCTACTGCCTTTGTAAATTATTCAAGTTTATTCATTGCATGTTGAATTAAAAAATAATAGTAATGGATTTTATATTGTTATATTACAAGTAGGTTTTGCTAGTTTAAAAATTATGATGTGTACACCACATAACTTCCTTGTACAGCCTATTAAATTATATGCCTTTTTTGCTGCACTCCATTTAAACTTCTTTTCTCGATTTATTTTAAATTAATTAACCGAACCTTCGAGGTAAGTTGAAAATGACGTCAAAAATTGCAGATTTTTAATGTATTTCTGTTTTTTCTTAACGAGTATTAGACTTCCCAAATATAAGTATAAGAATCGCGAGACTGCATTAATAGTTAGATTTGGTTATTTGTTCAACATTAATTTCTCTTTTAAATTTGACATTGCAAAACCTGAATATTTTCATTATTTGAAATACTTCTGGATTTGTAAGTATATGATTATATCCGACGATTCCGAAAATAAATACCGGGTAAGGCGGTAATTATATATATATCTACTTTTGATATTAGCGATTACAGTTCAAAAAGGGAGGTGCATAACTTGTTATAGTTTTCCCATTTGCAAAATTTTAACGTTCTATGGCTAATTGTTTTTAAGTTATGCCATGCACTTGCGTATGTACGTACAGACGTCAAGAAAAAATCCGTTTTGCAATAAAATGTCATATATTCTGTACAGACGTCACGCTAAAAAGCAGAGACAAAATAGATTCGGGAATGGTCAAAATGGACGATGAAATCTGTTAACCGAACTTTTTTCGCAATGACAATACTTTCTTTACTTAATACAAGGAAGTAAAAAGAATGTTTTTTTAACACCTCCTGTATCACATTGGTTGATTAAATTCTTTGCAATAAATTATTTTTTAAACACTAAAAATTGATTTAGAACCAATAACGCAATCTAACTTTTAATGCGGTCTCCCATATTTATATATGAAAAACTTAAATACTCGTTATGAAAAAATAGCGTTATAAGACTCTCTGACAAAAATTTAATGAGATATTCAGTTTCAAAATTTGAAACTTTTGATGTCATTTTCAACTTGCCTTGAGGGCTGGATTAATTTAGAAGAATCCGAGGAAACAAGTGTAACTGAAGTGCAGAAAAATTTCAAAAATAACAGAGGAAAATTTTCAGAATGCACATATTACGAATTTGTTTTTGCCTGTTTCAGAATGCTAGTCATTCAATATCGTAAAAGAATTTCAATTTGAATTTGCATTTTGTAATTTTATTTGTAAAACGTTTCTAATTTTTAATATCTGGTGATCGATTTTCCGAGAAATCTGTCGCTGAAATAAATACTTCGTGAACTTGGTCAAAGAATGTGTTTATTTGCTGCCACTTTCCTGTCGCCTTGAGTTTTCCTTCATGCGTTCTAAAAAATTGTTTTTCACAAACGTCCAATGCCGTGAACATAATCACTTTGAGGAATGTTTGTTTAGTATTAAACAATAAGAAAATAAAAGATTTCATAGTAAATGTCATTTTAGCTGATACTAAGTAGAATGGAATTATTTTAGTTTTACTTTCTTAGTATACCGAGAAATTTTAATTTATTTATTATATTTCCTTTATCTTAATAGTTCTATATCTCAAACGTGTTTACCTTAGTTTGTTTTTCATCCTTAATATCAAAGACGTATTTTTAATATGTCTGTAATTGTTTATTTCTACTATTGAGAAAGGTAATGTAAGATTTTCATTCTTAGTAGTCTCCAAATATTATCTCTTTCCTGGGTGTTACAGTTCGTTGACCACGTAATTCATAGCTATTACTTTCTCCTGTAGTTTGACCACTCCCACTATTTCTCCTAAACCTCTATTCAGTTTCCCATTAGTGTGGTTTTATGATGTGCGGTGTAGACTATATGTGTAAAACAAATCATTGGGGGAAAAAAAAAAAAAAAAAAAATCTGAAAGTTTTCAGATTTTAAATTAGACCAAAGGGGCGTTTTTTTTTAACGTTTTGTGTGTTATCTTTATTTAATAAATATCATGCTCTTTGTACTTAAACCATAAAATTCAGTTCAAGAGCAATATCGCAAAATAATTTTAAATTGAGCATATCTTCAGAATTTCCGATTCACAGTCTCACGCGCTAAAGATAAAAAAGGTTTTTTTTTTTTCTTTTTCTTACAATGTTGCCATTGCTCGCTTTGAAATCCTTGAGTTTGTTAATCAAAAATTCGTTTTTAAAAAGTTTTACAAAATATAAAATCGATAATAGGCTTCTAGATGCCCAGATTCGCAGTAGGCTTATGTCATTCAATATTCGATGGCTCTAGGTACCGTTGTTTTATCACAGTGCGAGAAACATACATACATTTATGCAAATTCTTCATTATTTAATTTCTTTAAATATAATACAGGGCAATAATATTTGGTGGCAACAGTTTGTAAAGTGAAACGGACATTCACAGTGATTCGACACAAAGCATATAATTTAAATAAATTATACATTATAAATTAAAGGCACTAATAAATCACAAAATGGACTAATAACATCATTAAGTACCATTTAAAGGAGAAAAATCAATATGGAATAATAATAATAGGTACAAAACTTTCATAAATGTAAGTATAGGAATCGTATGAAAAGTTAGATTTCGTAATATTTACAAAATTGATATCTTTAAAAGTTCGAAACAGGAATATCTGTGTCATTTAAAACATTTTTGTATTGAAAGTACGTGTCTATGGCCGCCAATTAGAAAATAAAGGCCCTAAAAGAAATTTTATAGATACGATGTATATTTGTGTGCAGAATAAGTTGTAAATGTTATCTCTGAAAATTCTGGAATTCGTTTTGAATAAAAATAGTTTAAATCTTAAATGGAATTTTTTGGAGTTTTTTTTAATCATATGAAGTTATGAAGAATCATATGAAGTTAATGAAAATTAATGGTAATTCATAAATCAAAATTAATTACACGTGAGTGGCACATTTGAAATATCTCGGCCGTTGAGGATAATAATAACGGCCTTCTAACGCTCTAATTAATCTTTTTTTTTAATGCTCTGTGTTCTCATTTGAATAATTAGGAAGGAAATTAAAAGTAATATCGTCTGAAAGTTTAAAAACCTGTTTTGTGAGAAATAA